CATTGTCTGCGGGGTTTCTCTCTCCCTTTTGCACATAACTCTATCTCCAGGCCCCTGAGTCCGAGAAAGCCCGTGATGGACGGACGGACGGATGTGCTTTGTCGGGTGTTTCAGCACGGCTTCCCTGGGGGCAGTCTGTCTGTTGGCAGAGCACAGCCTCCCGAAAGATGGTATCTTCTGCAAACTCGACAGCTAACAGACAGCCCCTCTCTTTGTATATTTCCCCAAAGAAGAACTGTCTTAATCTGTTTTTTATATGGCATATTTTATTATAATCCATGTATGACTTGCAGGTTCCCAGTCTTCCATCCTGAGCCAAAAAACACATGAGGAGTCAGAGGCTCCGGGAGCCTGTGTGATGCGGGCGTTTGCATTTTTAAATGACCTGGGATTTAATTACTCACTGTGCTCCCCTGTTGCACTTTCAGGCTCATCTCTCCGGCATCCTGTTAATGAGCTCGGTGGCACCTACAACCCAGTGGAAGAGTTGCTTTCGGGGTGTTGGGTGGCAGGCTTGGACACCTGTGTCAAAAGTCTGTGGCTTTGATCTGCACCTGAGAGGCTGGTTGCCCTGTCCACGGCCCTGGAGAGAAATCCGTGCTCTTCACTGGCCTTTTTTTTTTGCTTTGTTTTTATTTGTGGCTTTTTTTTTTTTTTTAGACTTTCTATGCTTCAATCCTTGTTTGTCTAAGAGGTTTTTTCTTATTTGGAAACCGATTTGCTTCGGTTTGCACAGAAGCTGTCTCTGGTGTGATGGATCGTGCTGGAAGTCACCCAAGGAGTATCTCTGTTCCCAATTAGAAGTGGAGGCAGAGCTGCTTGCGGGGGCCCGGAGAGGCGGCTGGCTTGGGTGACAGCTGCTGCCGCTCTGCAGAGAGTAACGATCCGTGGGTTTATATCCATGTGTATAAAATCAGGCTAATTTAAAGATGAATTATGTGTGTGTTTTGGACCTTTTTCTTTTAATGTTAAATGTTTGATGGCTCTTGTCAGGTTGTGTGATCCCCAAATTTGTGTGAGGTTCAAAATGAGTCTGCCTTTAAAGAATCACTAAATCCTCTATCTAGATGAGATGTATTAGAATAAAACTGAATCAATGAAGTCCCCAAGGGCTGCAGAGGGCGAGTGTCTAGGACATGCATTGTGCAAGAGCTTTGGGCCAGTCACCCACCCCACTCCCTTTGGACTCCTGGGGTCTGTGTATGAATGTACCCTCTGCTGGGGTGGAGGGAGGGCACTCTGTGACCTGTTCACCCCGACCTTGCAAACCTTACCCATGGTGCTTAGAAACCAGGGTCAGCTAGAACGCCACCCTGGGATGGCACTTGGCCAGCTCTCAAGTAGATGACGTTAAGAACCATATTTAATGTCCTTCTGTTTTCTGCCATGAGATCATGGTAAACATTACTTTTCATGCTGTAAACCTACCCTGTCCAATACAGTAGCCACTGGCACATGTGACTGTGGAATGCTTGAAGTGTGGCTACTCTGAGTTGACATGGATTGGAAGTACAAAATGCACACCAGATTTTTTTTTTAAAAGACAGCGTGAAGACAGAGTGTAAAATATCACATCATTAAAAAATTTGATTACCTTTTGAAATGATAATGCTTTGGGACTCTTGTGTTGGGTACAATTCATTATTAAAATTCATTACACCTGTTGCTTTTTAAGAATGCATTCAGAAAGTTTAAAATCCTATCAGTGGCTTGCATTCTGTTTTTATTGGGCAGTGCTATTGTGCCATTGAAAATAAAATGATTTAAAAATTGGTAGTAATCACATTTATAGGGCCTTACAAACATCCCATGCTCTTTATATATATGATCTAATTTTGAATCTATGTTTTGAATAGAAAAATAAATAGGTAAGCCTTGTTTCCTACTGTTTTTTACACTAGTATTTTTGTAGAGCCTTTCAAAAATTTTTGAATACAGTGTATTACCTTGTTCAGTTCTTATACCAACCCTGTGAAGTAGGTATTATGATCTTCCCCATTTTAGGAGCTGGAGACTTAGAGAGGTTTAAGTAGCCAACCGTTGGTCCCTTACCTAATACATGGCAGGGCTAAGACTAGGGTTTGACTCCAGGACTGCCTAACAGCAAGGCTTATACACATCAGCAGATATTTTGGTGACTGGACAAAAATGATGCCACTAAATTTCCCTGTGACCCTGGGCAAGTCTGCACATCTTTCTGTGCTCCGCTTTCTCCAGGAAGGGAGTAGGCGCTGCTGGAGATCCTTTCTAGCTCTTTGCGTATGGGAAAGCCCATTTCACTTTTGTGTTTTTGGTTTTACTTTCTCTATTGATCCTCAACTGTCACATCCGGTAAACAACCAGAGGATCAAGAGCAGCAGACTGAGTGGATTAATAGAGTAGATTGAATTATGGGACAGGAGGACAGAGGAGTATTTAGCAGGAGAGGAAGAAGTGAGAAAGGAAGAAAAGAGAAGCAGGAGCAGGAAGTTCACAACGGATGGGAAATTCTCTGAGAGGGCCATCCTGCTGGAAGGGTGGACAGCATGGGAGATACTCACATACGTCAGAGCCCTGAGCTGTGACCCCAGTCTGCCCTCAGCCTCAGCAAAGAGCAACCTTTTATCTTAATACATGGAGAATCCAAGAATGCAGTGCAGAGGCACAAAAGCTTGGAAAAAGACATTTTAGGGAAGGACCAAAGAGAGGCAAAGGCAAGTTCCCACCGCCTAGAGATTAGGCGAATGGGTTCTGGAGGCAACTGGGGTCAAGGCTGGACTTCATCTCTGCTAGCTGTAAGCAGGTTCAAAGCCTTCTGATCTGCAGTATCCCAGGGGCCCTGTGCTCATTTTTGGGTGGCGGGGGGCATCTGACACGTAGCAGTAACAGCCTTGCAGCCATCACATCTTGTTCATTGTGTGCCCAGCTCTCTGCATGAACACAAACATCCAGTGACTTTTGGGGGCTCGGCCTGGGGGCCTGTAAGTACGAATAAGATATAATAGGCTCTTGGCGTCTTGGAAGGATCGTTTGGCTGTATTCTGTTTCAGTCCTGCTGTGTGGCTTTCCATGAAGTTACTTAACTTTTCTGAGCCTTAGGTGGCTCATTTATAAGATGAAATGACTAAAGCAGATGATCTCTAAGGCCTTATTCAACTAAAAAATGGAAATAGGATTTATTCGGTGTTGAGAAAGCTAAGGGGTACTAAGAGATAAACTTCAAATACACACGCTTGCACACACACACACACAAATTTGAGAGATGGTGACCAGCTGTTCTCTTGACTGAAGACAGGACATGAGGCAACATGCTTTGTTTTGGATTAGACATTTGGAAGCCTTTCCTGACTTGGGAGGAAGAGCAATCCGTTATCGGGGCAGGCTTTGGAGTTGCACACTCTGAACTCACAAAAGTAGACAGTTGACTATTTTTCTGACATTCAAATGTGATTTTGTCTTACAGCCTACTCTGACCCTCTGATCTCTAATCTAAGTAGACTCTCATTCTTCCTGTTTTTTTTTTTTTTTTTTTTTCCCCACTGTCTCTTTAGATTGTAACCCACCCAAAGCTCAAGACTGGTACTGGCTTAGATCACACTCACAGTTGCTGGGCTTCGAGGTGTCACTGGAAGTCTTTGTTTGATTCACCCGCTGTGGGTGCTCCAAGCCCAGTGGTTATCATGTAGCAGGTTCTCAGAAAATACCCTGAAACGGTAGCTGGCCGGTGAGTTTCAGACATGGCTGACAAGTGACAGTGATTCTTGATGGCGGTGCATCCTTGACTTACCTTTTATTTTGGTTAAAAAAATCCCAAAGACCTTGTCTGTGAAGTCTCCATAGTCAAGGTACTTGACTGTATCACTGCGCTGTGTGTTTCTTGAGTGTTAATGGCAGGCAGCCCTTCCTTGTGGATTGGGGAGCTGGATTCTATGATGGGTGAGCGAGATAAAAGGAATTTCCATTTTAGTCAAACTAGAGCATTGGGAATAGGCCTTGCTAGTGTTGGTTATTTCCATTTCGTCTCCCTGGTCCACTCTGTCCTTTCTGTGCCCTCAGAGCTGACCTTGGTGGGTTGTGTCATCAACGGGATCTTTGCCTTCTGCTCTCTGGTTGGGGTTGGCCATTGGAGGCCATTGGGAACACATTGGTGGGAAGACATAGGTGGAAGGAGAGAGAGGCTAAGCTCTTTGTCTGCTTGCTTTGGTTCTCACGAGTTCACAGAGGAAGAAACGAACTTCCTTTGGGTTAGGAGTTTGGGGTATTTCTGGAGGAAGTGGTTCAGCTTCTTTTGTGGACAGGATGGCTTTGTCTGGGTGACTGTGGCTCAGCTGGGCTCATAACTGCCAGTCCCAGGTAGCTGATCAAACTTCGATGTCTTCAGAAAAAATGACACAGTGTGTAGGTCTTGCAACTCCCAGCTGTTGACCAGGGGCTTGTTTGGCACTTGTGTTCTCTCTTCCCTTACCTAGAGAGGCCTTTGATTCCCTGATGCTGGGCACCCAGTGTGGCCAAGGAGGGGAGGGGATCGTGGACTTGCCAGACACAAACTGTGATGGAGGGAGAGAATAATAATAATACTTAGTGTATTGCTTTTGACTTTTCAAAGCACTTTGATGTAAAGGAACACGTTTCTCCTCACAGAACATCTGGCCACTGTCATTTGCACTTCGTAGATGTGGAAAAGAGTTCTGGGATCCTCAGAGGTCTTGCCTAAGGTCCCAGGGTCCGAGTGGCCTAAAGCAGGCCTAAGATTGAGCCCCTCTCACGCTTCACCTTGTGCACCTGGCACCTCTCTGCTCTGCCTCTGAGGGCGCAGGCAGGGCTGGGCTCCATGTCTGGTATTGTGAGCTGGAGACAGGGGAGCTGCACAACCTCCCATGTTCCTGTCCTGCTCAGAGGAGAGCGCAGCCTGTCTGAGTCTGACCCTGGTGCTTGGTTCCCACACATGCTCCAGGGTCATCTTCTTGCCTCTCCTGTTTCTCTTGCTGTGAGTGTCCTGACTCTCTGTCTTTATTTTCCAGAAGTGGAACTGCCCCTAAAGAAGGATGGATTCACCTCAGAAAGTACCACCCTTGAGGCCTTGCTCCGAGGGGAGGGTGTAGAGAAGAAGGTGGATGCCAGAGAGGAGGAGAGCATCCAGGAGATACAGGTATTTCTGGGCCCGCCGTGGGGAGCCCCCAGAGTCCCACGGCTGTGCTTCCAGAGCCCTCTGGGCTCGCTCGAGGGCATGGCTCGACCAGCTCATGGCACTGGTCCAGAGCTTGCAAAGTCCTTTCTGATCTAACGTGACCCCCAGAAGAAGCCATTGTTGCCTTCACGTCCATCCTTGTCCCTTCACCTCCCTGTTTCTTCATTTAAGATGTTACTTTCGAGCCTCCAGTATGCCGGGCGCCATGTCCTGAGGCACCATGGTGAGAACAGCAGACTGAGTCTTCAGCCTGTGAAGCAAGTAGCTCGTGGTCCAGGCTTGAAACTCAGGGTTTCACCTGAGTTTCTGCATCCGCTAGGCCCACACGTCTGCCTCAACCTGTCCAGTTCCGCACACCCCTCCCTTGGCTTTGGTTGACCAGGTGTCAGTTTTTCATAGCGCTCCCCACCCTTCCTTCAAGGCCAGCTTGGATGTGTCTGGCCAGGCAGGGTTGGTTACTCCTGTTGCTGTGGCCCCTCCTTGTGCCACAGCGTTACCGAGGCTCTGATCGCCAGCCCCACCCTGGCGGGCTCAGTCCAGTCCTCGTTTGTGGGTCTTGAATCCCCGTGGCCAGACACAGTGGTTGGCACGGAGCATTATAATATTAATTCAAGGGCATTAGTGATCAAACAGAATTGAATTATTAAAATTAAATGAAACATTTTATTCGAATTTTAGCTTTTATATTCTATGTATACATTTATCAGTATTATTTCCCATTTAGCATTCATGGCCATTACATTCATACAAGTTAAATTTTTGTGAGTTGCATCAAGTTGGGGCGCTGCTGGTGCATGGAATGTTGTATCCTGGGCTCTTGTATGCCCCCAGTGGGGTTGGGGGTGCAGTGAAGACCTGGGACAAGTCCAGGAAGCATGCACCACTCCCCTGGCCCACGCCGCGCTCACCTCCTGCTGGCTCTCTGCCTATCGCACAGTGCTTACTGTTTTCTCCACGGCCCTGCTAATGGTGGGGGTGGGGGACCCTTTAGGAGCCAAGTCAGATCCTGCCATTTCTGTGCCCTGCTCTGCCAGAATACAGGCCAGATCCTGCTACCTCTCTCTGACTACCTCTTTCCCTGGCCCTCTGTTCCAGAGTGACTTCTTTGTGCTATTCTGAGAACATGGCAGGCACACTCCTGCCTGGGGCCTGCCTCTGCGCCCTCTGCTTGCAAAGTCCTCTCTCAGGTCCAGCCTCTCCCAGTTCTTGCTCCTCTCTCTTCTGCATGACGTTCCCCTGATGGCCCTTGGGGGCCAGGCACTCCGGCCCTCTAACTCTGTTCTCCTTTCCCATTTTTGGCTTCCCCTACCTCTCATCACCATCTAACATATCTTTAATAGAATGATTTACTATATGATTGTTTATTTAATTCTGTCTGTTTTGCTCGCTAATCTATCTGAAGCACTCTGGGTAATGCAATGTGGTACGATGCAATGATTTCTGTCTCAAGCACCCAACAGTGCCTGGCACATAGTCGGTACACAGTAAATGGTGTTGAATGACTGCATGAGTAAGCAGACTCCCATCCCCCTTTCTCTTTCTACCTGTCCTGCTTTGCTATCTGACTTTTCATCCCCAAGCAGAGCTCTGCCCATGTCATGCCTTTATTTTAAAAACTTAGCCAGAACACTTTTGTTTTCTACTACATAAACCCCAAAGGACGAGCGTGGCCTTCCTGGGCATCTGGCTCTGCTCCTAGGCTGCTTTCAGGCTTCCGCCCTCACTCGTTACTCCCTCTCTGCCTCCGCAGCGCTGTGCCTCTATCTCCATGTGTAGCATCCCTCTTCCGCTCCGTGTGCAAAGATCCCCCCCATCACGCAGGCCCTGCCAGTGCTGACTTCCCCAGGATGCCACGCTTGGCCCCCTGGAGCAGGGGGGATCTCTTCTTGTCTCTGGCATGTTGTGTATCTAGTACTTTCTTCCTTTTTTTTTTGTCTACTCAGGAATACCTCCCATTTTTTGAGTTTTGTCTAAAGATTTATTTATTTGTGCATACAGATCTGGGGTAGAGGCCAGAGGTGCCCCCACGCCATGTGATCACCTCCAGGGCAGGAGGGAATCGAACTCATGTGGAAGTGGCTTTCGCTTCTTAGTGCTGTGCTTTAACCCATTGAACCACTAGGGAGGGCCCTGTCTATATATTTTTTAAGATTTATTTATTTATGCTAACAGAACTGGGGTACAGGCCAGAGGTGTGGTGGGTGAAAGCATTCACCAGAGACAGAGCAGGGAGCAGAACAGGCAGACTGACAAAGTACACTGCTGAGGGGAGCAGCGGGCTGGCCAGGAGAGGTCTGCCGCACCATGTGGGTCAGCTCCCTCGCCAGGGATTGAACTCGTGCTGCAATGGCTTTGGAGAGCTTCATAATGCGGTGCTTTAATCTGTTGTGCCACCAGGGAGAGCCCAGTTTTATCTATTTTTAAGTCAAGGTCTATTACACCTACTTTGCCCATTAGAGTGTTTTTTGCTCAGTTAGTGCAATTTCACTGAATTTAACAGAATTTGTGAGCGGGGCAGAATATTGCCTAGAAACCTGGATGTGGCCATGATGTGGCCTTTCCCTATACCCTGACGGGGGGGTTGAGCTCTTGCAGGCCGCCTGGACCAGTACAAGGGGCCTCACTCTTGACTCACCTTCATCATCATCATCCCTGTGATGTCCACGGTGCACTGAGATGGTGCTAGAGGCTGAAACCAGGACCATAGTCAGGAGAGCTTTTCTGTCTAGATGTTGTTAAACATAAAGGGTATATGTGGAAAATGGACTACATTTGTTTAATTTTCATTCATTCAACCCAAGTTTGTTGAGGGCCTCCTGTGAGCAGACACCGTGCTAGGTTCTGGGGAAACAGAGAAGCTGAGAGAGACCTGTCCCTGCACCCAGCCTTTTCTTCTATCTAGTGTGAGATACAGACAGATAGCATGTGGCCAAGCCGAGAGATCGCATTTCAGGATAAATATACCATGAGAGAGCAGTGTGTGAGATCGTATAAGGGGAGGGATAGATAGATACTAGGTTGTGCGCTAAAAGAAACCAGGTCCCTGGTGGGACCTGGCCGTGTGGCCCTGGAGCAGAGGCCAGGGGGCGCTCTGGGAACTGGCCTGCTGCCTTCTGTCAGGACTTACCCTGAGTCCTATGGGACTAGGAGGAGCTAGCAAAATGAGGCTCCTGGCTCCAAGTGCTTTCTGGGCAGAGAACAGCATACTTGAAGGCTGGGGACAGGTCCATGCCCACTGTGTTGAGGAGACTGACCTGGGGGTGGGAGGGCCCTTCCTGGTGGCGCAATGGGTTAAAGCGCAGCACTATGAAACTAGCCGTGATCACTGCCGCACGAGCTAGATCCCTGGCAAGGCAGGTGACTCACATGGCACAGCAGACCTCTCCTGTTGCGCCCGCTGCTCCCCTCAGTGGTGTACTTAGTCAGTCTGCCCATTCTGTCTCTGGTGAATGCTCTCAACCCTCATACCTCTGGTCTCTACTCCACTGTTGGGTGGCTAGAGCCAGGGAGAGGACTGAGCATAGATTGGACAGTGAGCAGGGACCAGACGACTTGGGATATGGAAGAGACTCTTCATTTCATGGGAAATTAGGAGGAAGCCATCTGAAGGGTTTTAACCAGAACAGTGAATTTGTTTCATAAAGATCCCTGTGGCTGCTGCATGGAGAGGAGACGGGATACAGACCATCAGTGGGAAGAGGGAAATCAATTATGATTTTCAGAGACAGTGGAGTCTTTAAAAAGGAATTCCTTCTTCTGCCTCCTCCCCCCACCCCCCACATAACCACAAACGATTGTTCAACACTGTAAAAACTGTTTAGAGAAACAGCGAGGAAAGTTATTTTAAAATGTGTTTATTTTCCAGATCAGGTCCATGGACAGGGGATGTGCCGGTGTGCTACTGGGGGATGGGCAGCATCTCTAGTTGAACTCCCCTGCCCTTTGCCCCTAATACAGGATGCCCTGGCTTCCTGCACCCCAGATAGGAGCTCGTATGTCAGGAACCCTGGTCCTCCTGTTATGTTGGGAGGCTTCAGGGCCACATCGCAGGAAATGCACACACTCTGGGAGGCTGAGGTCCCTCTGAGCCCAGGGCACAGGCCAGAGGCTCTGGGGGGGGGGTGCGGGGGGGGGAGGGGCCCAGGAGGCCATGGGAAGAGGGAGGGAAGGAGCCCAGGGAGAAGGTGGTGTGGCCCTGGACGCAGAGGCCAGGGGGCGCTCTGGGGACTGGCCTGCTGCCTTCTGTCAGTCTTTCACCTTCCAGCTGAGTCCATATCTCAGGTAATAAATACCTTCATAATAAAAAGTGAGAGTGGACTCAGAATTGTGCAGCGATGCCAGAGTCAATGACCTTTAAATTCGAGGCACTGGGAACTTAGTGTGATTAAAGGACTTTCAAGACCCGGAAAGTTTGGGAGGTGAGGCTATGACAATGACCGAGGGCTAAAGGCAACACCTCGCTGTTACTCCAGCACCCAGTGAAGGCGGCAGGCCTGTGACTGTCGTTGTCTTGCTTCATGATGGCTGGTGTCCCCACGAAGCATGACGCAGAGAGCCCTGCTCTGGCCTGAGCTGATGTTTCCCAGCAGACAAAGCTGCTGCTCTGTTGGATGACCAAGCTTGCCCCCGACATCCTCAGCTGCTTTCAGTTGCTGGCTCCCTAATCAAACATGGTAGAGAATAGGAAGTAGATGTGTTTTGTGTTCCTTGGGAGGGCTGGTAATTACAGTTTCCTGATCCCTGTGATGGGAATACAGTCCTCTGACCAGAGGCGTGGGGATGGTGGCTGCTACCGTACTCCCGGGCTTTGAGGCCAGAGGTATTCATTGTCCAGTGGCCACGAGGGCAGTGGTGGTGGCATCAGACATCAGCGCAGTATGTGGCGCCTTCTGAGCCTTTGCTTCGTGGTGATGGTCACACCACCAGCCCAGGATGGTGCATCTGCAGTTCTGCAGAATATGGTGTGGCTATATTTCAGTCCCATCTGGTGCCCGCCTCTGCCTAAGCCTGGCGGTCTGGTTGACCGGCTTCAGGATGAGCCCTGTTCCTCTCCCTGCCTCAGGGAGTTTGCTAATGCTGTTCCCTCTGACTAGGATACGTTCCTCTCTCTATCCCCAGCTAGTCTTGGCTCATCCTTTACATCTCAGCTTCCCTAGGTTCCTTCCTCAGGTAAGCCTTACCAGGTCCCTGGATTAGGTAAAATTCCCTTCTAGGACTCCCTTGTAGCAACTTGAATGTGCCTGACACTGTAACTCTGGTATGATGAGGCCTGTAGGCTTTTTAAATCTGTCCTCTATTCTCTGGACTGTAGAGTCCACTCTCAACCAGCACTGTAAACTGCGAGTTGTCTGACTCTAGACAAATGCTTGTTGATTGAATGCTTGAATTTCTGTTTTATATCTAGGCAAACAGGCATGAAGAGAGGCCACACAATGAGCCCACGAAGAAACCCGTAGGCCCCGACACAGAATCCAGTGGGCCCCATGCCTCTCTGTCCTGGGTCTGGGTCTGCTATCCCTCACTTAAACTTAGGGTTACATACCTTATCTCCCCTCTTTGCTCCCCTCCCCCAAAGGTATGATGTGTCCCTACAGGAATGGCCTGCCATGACATACGTGGAATTCTCAGACACAAGAACTGAGCACTGAGCAGGGGAATCTGACCTTCCTTTGGCCGTGGTTTGGCTGTATGACCCTGAGCGGTCTGTGCTGTTTTCAGCCCCAGTTCATTCACCTGTAAAACGGAAGTTGGATTTTCTGCTAGTGTGACTCACAGGGCTGTTGATCTTTAAGTGCCATTACGAATAATGTACTACTGTAATGAACAACATTGTTATGTTTTAAAAAATTTAATGTTTTAAAATGTAACAACGGATGCTTATGAACAACACATCAATGTCAGATCTGGTCAAATGAACAAAAATCTGGTCACCAAACAGGGCAGGGCTCCAGAATGATAGAAGACAAAACGTATTTCATATTGTGGAGGTGATGCTTGAGGAAGGGAAAGGAAGTTACATGAAAGAACATTTTGATGAAACATCTCGAGCCCACATTGGACACTGCTCCTACCAGAGTATTCTCTTTTGAGAAAATTCTCCTTAGGCAAAGGCAGTTGAACAAGGTCCTTGCTCTGGGAAGGCTTGGCCAGGAGGGCTGGGGTTTGAGGAGAGGGCCGTCACGTCCTGAGCGCCAAGTCCTGGCAGCATCTTGACCACTTGGATTCCCACGCAATGGAAGTGTCTTTGCTTTGTTAACAAACAACCAGGAAGCAGAACACCCCACATTATGCTCGGATGGTTTCTCCTTTGCATTTAATCTCTCACCCCATCTCTTTGTGTTTCTTGTCATTTCAGAGGGTTTTGGAAAATGATGAAAATGTGGAAGAAGGAAACGAAGAAGAGGATTTAGAAGAGGATATTCCCAAGCGAAAGAATAGGACCAGAGGGCGGGTAAGCAGGGGACGCCAGGTGGGAGGGACAAGGTCTCATGGCCTGGCTGGGCAAACAACTGGCCTGGACCCCAGGTCCTGCTACAGTTAGCTCAAGGTCACAGTCTTCCTTGAGGAACACAGCTGGTCCTCAAAAAAAGCTTTGTTCAGTGTCATTTAGTTATAATGTTGGTGTCAAAAAAAACAGCCCAGGCTGATGTTGAATGAAATGACTATTTAAGGACCTTCTTTCATCATATACATCATTTTACTGAAAGTCACAGTTCCCAAGAACCTTTTGATGACCTTAAGTGAGGACTTTCTTATTAGGGAAGAAAACTCCAGAAGAACCCTGAACACAGGTGATGCCCTGCAAGTGTTTAGAACTTGCAAGTGGGTGAAGAGGCACAGGAAGAAGATGAGGGTGGGTGTGGGTGTTGTGGTGGCACATGGTGAAGGTAGAGGACCAGGATGATGTGGCCTTTGTCTTGCTCCTGTGCCATAAAAGAAGGCTGCAAGTTTCCTGTCCCTGTCTGCCCTGGGCAGACAGGATCAGGAGTTGGGAGTGCACTTTGCTAGGCAGAGAGAGTAAGTGGCAGCTGGAAAGCAGGGCGCGTAGCGATTGGTCCTGGTGGGTTTGGCATGCGTCTTGGAGACATGGGGGCCTGGAAAGCATCAAGAAAAGACCAGAAGCCTGGGAAAAAGACAGAGGGGAAAACCCATGGTGGAAGCAATATGAGTATGAGGGGGTTCACGAAGGAAGGAAGCCAAGCCTTAGTGGTGTACTCATCTTGGTTCTCCAGAGTCCTCGTGTTCAAACCCAAAGGGGTTTTCTGTGGTCACCTTCAGGACTCTTCAAGGGCGTGATTAGTACCAGGCGAAGGGCCTCCAGAGTGAACTGCTGCTTCCCCCCTAGAGAATGAACTGGCCTTGGCCTGTCTGGCCCCTTCAGCTCTGGGCGAGGTAGGCCCCTACCTTCCCACAGACTGAGGCCAGTCCTCAGCGCCCCAGGGTTTCGCTTTAGTGAACCCCAGTCTCTATTTCCATGGTTCGTGGGCCTTTCAGCATCACTACGAGGGTTTATCCAAATGCGGTTCCCTTGGGGTTCACTCTCAGAAGTTCTGATTTAGCAGGTAGGGGTGGGGCCTGGGAAGCTCTGGTTAGCCAGTTCCTAGGTTATGGGACAAGTGCTGTAGTGCCACCCACTGTGAGCTAAGGTGCTTCTAAGATGAGAGTGGCAGTCCTCACATGTGCTCGTTACTGCCCGGTGGCAGCAACCCTCAGTGTTTGACCATCTTCTTTCATCTGTTCTTTCCTCCCGCTTTCTGCTGGTTTGTATGTTTAATACATACATACTGTGTGATACTTTAAAGCAAGCCCTACACATTTTATCATTTAACTTGCACATACCTCCATGTATTTTGCTAACAGATAACTTTATAAAACTCAATAAAAAGAGCGATTCTAGTATCTACCATCCAGTCTGTTCATTTTCTGTTGATCTTATAAAAAAATGCCCATTTTACAGTTGGTGTGTATGGGACGTGAGTGTCTTTTTTGCTCTATAGCATATATCTTCCTTGCTCTACCTTACCACACTCCTATTTTCTTTCATGGCATTGATTTCTTGAAGCACTTGTGTGGCTGGTCTCATAGAATTTCTTAATCAAAATTTGGGTAGACTGGTGGAATTTAATATATTCCTCTAGCTGCATTTCCTAAAAACTGGTGGCTTGAATGAGCCTTGATCAGTTGAGGATAATTATATATAAATATCATGGGCAAGTGTCTCCTCTGGGTGGACTCCTCATTGCCTCACACCAGGAGGTGTCTGTTATCTGTTCTCCAGCTAGTTCTGCTTTCACTGGTTCACCAGCTGATCAGTGGATTTGGGTGTCAGGCTGATTTCTCTTAGAAAGTTCCCCATCAAGGTGTCCCCTAGGTATTGTAGTGCTCATTGAGGAACTTGCCTTGACCTATGGCTTCCTTGGGAGCTACAAAATAATGACTATGGAATGCCACTGTTCAAGGCTAGTTTAGAATGGGGAATTTGGGGCCTTTTGTGAACTCCGAGAATGGATGCCTCCAGACTTGCTCCCTCTCCTCCATCATCCCAAACCAGTGTACCAGAGGAGACTGTGACTGCACTCCCAACCTGAATCTATAGACAACTGGACTTGCAGTCAGCGAATAAGGCTTTGCTGTAGGAACACCAGCAGAACTGGGGCCCGATCCTTGCTGCGATGAGGCTCCAGACGTAAGCTGCTGTGTTCAGAGAGGACCAAGCACCTTATTCTGTATTCTCTTTTTCTCCAAGTCTTTTTGGCAGCACACTTGCCAATATTAAGAGAATGCAGAATATTTCATTTATATGTTTTATATTGATTCATATTGAAATGATGATATTTTTGGATATATTAGGTTAAATAAAATGTTATTGAAATGGATTGCACCTGTTCCTTTTACTCCTTTTTTTTTTCCTAAATAGCTACTGGAAAATTTAAAATGACATATATGGCTTGCATTATTATTTCTATTGGCTGGTGTTGCTTCTTTCATTCCTGAAAGTGGTATTATTACTCCCAGAGAGGTTAAGTAACTTGCTGAGGATCATCCAACCTAGCAAAGAAGGAAGCAAACTTGAATACAGCTCTCTGCTTTTTCCACTAAGTCAGGCCCGGCCTCATGCCCAGCGTGTGGCCTGTGATTAATTTTTTGAATGAATGATTGGATGATGGAAAAAGGAAAAAAAAATAGGTGTTGCACTTCAGTTTCATGGGAGCTGAGAGGCCTGGACACAGTGAGGTGGCTGGATAGGGACCTCCTGAGGCAGGCCAAGGGGCAGCTGTGCAGTGACATTGTGCACATGTCACCCGTGGTGGACCTGTGGCAGGCCCTGGCCAGGTGTGGCCAAGCGCTGAGACTGAATTGGGGTGGGGGAAGATGTTTTACTCACAGCCTCAGTTAAGCCAAACTTTCAAGTGGTATGTTCAACTGCATTAGAAGCTTAAAATCCCCTCCCCTCGCCCCATGTAATACTACTATGATGAAGCAAATAACCTTATATAAATAAAATAGAAATATTAAAAACAATAAAGTGGAGTATTTCAGCTGCTGTTGGCTGCTAGAGAACAACAGTCCCTCCCACTTCTGTGGTCAGGCCTGAGGGGCAGTCAAAGCTCAGAAGGTATGCCCTGACTTCAGCATGAATTTCACACCAGAGCTTGCTGGCCATGCAGGACCCCAGACTCCACTCCAGGGGACACCATTAGAGCCTGCTCTTTAACAAAACCCCTGTGATTTTTTTTTTATTACAAAAGTTTATTTTTACATCATTTTATACATTTTTTTTTCCCATCTCGATTGTAATCCCTGCGGGTTTCCCATCACCAAGTCACCCGTGTTGCCATCACCATAATTCCGTGCATTTCTCCCCCCCCCCCATTTTTGATCCCATTCCCCACTCCACCCCCACAAAATGTCTCTGGTATATGGTTGTTCATTATTTTTGTTATTTTCTCATCTGGTCCATTATACTCCTGCTATGAGTGACACCATCCGGTATTTTTCTTTCTCTTTCTGGCTTATCTCACTAAGCATAATCTTTTCCAGCTCCATCCAAGTTGCTGCAAAAGACATGTGTTTCTCTTTTTTGGTTACTGAGTAATATTCCATTATATATATGTACCACATCTTTTTTATCCAGTCATCTACTTTTGGGCATTTGGGCTGCTTCCATATTTTTCCAATTGTAAATAAAGCAGCAATAAACATGGGGGTACAGGTATCTTTTTCAATCAGTGTTTTTGTGTTTTGGGTAGATACCTAGGAGTGGGATTGCTGGGTCGTAGGGAAGCTCCATGTTTAGCAGTTTGAGGAACCTCCAAACAGTTTTCCATAGTGGTTGTACTAGTTTGCACTCCCACCAGCAGTGCAGGAGAGTTCCTTTTTCTCCACATCCTCGCCAACATTTGTTGTTGCTAGTTGTTTGAAGATGTGCCATTCTCACTGGAAAAACCCTGTCATTTGAATGCGTATTGAGGAAGCCAGAGCTGAAGCAGTGATAACAAGGACAGTTGCTGCCTTGCTTGAACCTGGGTTCAGGTCCCAGCTCCACCACTTAGTAGATTCAGTAACTTCTATGGCCTTGACTCCATGATATAGGTCCTCTGGGCCTCAGTTACATTATCATTAAAATGGAGCAATAATTCACAGCCAGTTTTGAGTTCTTAAAAACACTAGATATTATTAAGAGGCTTCAGGCAAAGGGAACATCTCTTGGAGTTTTGGCAGTGGAGATTCCCTGAGAGGTGAGGGAACTTCAGGTCCAACAATGAACAACTGTGTCCATGGTAACTTTAGCCCAAGAAATGAGAGTTCTTTAAAATTCATGAAATTTCTTTGAGTCACCAGTCTGTCTGCCGTCTACTGGTCTGTCCACCATCCACCCGTCAGTGTATCTATCTATCCATCTTAAAAAATGGCTCAAGTGTGGAGCAGTAGCCCAGCAGCTTGTCCTGAGGGAATGTTTACTGATGCATTATGGTATAATTGGGCATTTCTCATGCTTTAATGTGTAGATGACGCACCTGGTGATCCTGTCAACATCTGCAGATTCTAATGCAGAAGGTCCAAGGCTGGAGACTGAGTTTTGCCTAGTTAACAAGTTCCTGGTGATGCTGATACTGCTGGTCTGAGGATCTCATTTTAAATAACAAAAATTTATGTAGTGGTTCTCAGCTTCTTTTGGTCCCAGGATTTTTTACTTACATAATGCTAGGGTCCCCAAAGCTATTGTTCCAGTGAGTTAAAACTAGTGACACTTACCACACAGAAATCAAAACAGAAAATATGTTAAGAGTACACAGGACTATGACACAGGACTCTCACCATGACATGTAACCTCCAGAGAACATCACTGTGCACTTGTGGCTGAGCATTGTAGCTCCTTCACTCCCCCCACCCCCCCCCACCCCCCAAAGGATCAGGGAACCCTTGACACTTGCTTTGTGAGAGAACAGAGTGAAATATTTCAAGTAACATTTTAGTACTATTACAAAAGTCGTTTTGACATTAAGCCCCTTACTCCACCCCCACCCTCCCAAAAAAAGGATCAGGGCTCCCTTAACACTATGAATCCTGGTTGCGCTTCTTTTAGTTGCATGAAACTCAGTGGTTTAGAAGGAATGGGAACTATTTGAAAAGCTGCTGGGCTGTTGCTCCACATGTGAGCCATTTTTGAAGATTCAGACTTCAGGAAGTGAAAGAAAACAGTAGTGATATTTAGGATTAGGACAGAGGAAGGAGCCAAGGCAACTTCTAGCATCCACTTTTCCTACCCTGTTTTCTCTCACATGACAGCCTTTCCTATTTCTCTTTGCATTGGCCTCATCTTGAGGCTTGATTTATGAGTTTCCAGCTCAAGTGTCCTCTATTAAGCATTTCTTAGTTCCAAGTATGTTGGAGGCAGACACTTACTGGCTAACCTTGGGGTCAGTTGTCTACTCCTGAGTCAGCCAACTAGCTGTGGCCAGTGGGGCAGGACCATGTCATGTCATGGCTGCTGTGGCCCACTCATCTGTGAATGGGAGGTGGAATGGGCTGGGCAGTTCCCAGGGAGGACTGCTATCTTTTGGACAGTTCACTTAAACATTTCCTGTGACAGAGTCTGGAAACCTACATCCCGTTTCTTCTACTGGCTCTGGGACCGCACCAGTCACAAATACTCTTTGAATCTATTTCGTCCAGTGCCAAATGGTAATCGGAACATTCTTTGGTCTAACTCAGAGGACCTACATGAATTAATTAATCTGAAAAAGACTTTTGGCTGCTTTGTGCCCAGGAAAGTGCTAAGTGTTGGGGGCTCATAATAGAGGATGAGAGGCCATCTTTGATAACTGTTTTGGAAATAAATTGAGGAGAAAATACTAATAGTCATGAGGCAATTAGGAAGCAGTAGGCTTCTGACTGTGCACTAAATGCAGGAAAGTTTGAGAGGAGAGAGCGTGATCAAATGGGCAAGAGGGGGAAATGATTGTTGAGCACGTCCTGTAGACAGAGCACTGTCCTCTGTGGTTTCACACTCTGTGCTCTAACAGCCTCAAAGCTCTGTGCTGCAGGTGTTGCCCATTTTACAGCTGAGAAAATTAAAGAAGTGACATGTCCAAAGACACATAGCTAGCGTCTAAAACTATGTCCATCTTTAATTCTGATGTTCCTTTGACTCCCTGTGACAAGAGGGAGCTTCTTGGATAAGTGGGAAGTAGCAGGTGAGCATGTGGATGGAGGAGAGGCTGGCCCATGGTAGGGATGGACAGAAGCAAAGATGCGGCCATAACATGAGCGTGAGGTGGCCCCAGTGGGCTCCGCTAGGTTTGCTTGGAAGGGTCCTTGGGCCTTAGATGGCAACGAGTGAGTGAATGTGTGAATGAATAAATGAATGGCCCTGGGTTCCGACCTTCACTTGTTCAATCTGATTAGTCTGGGAGACCTGCAGGATGGATTGAGGAGGGTAATACAGATGTAGAAGCCCAGCGGATGGGTTATTCGAGGAGTACAGAAGTCAGTTGATGAATTTCTTGATTCAGCTATGGAATAGAAGGGAAATGCCTAAGATGACCTTTGAAGGAGGAATAATAGCAGCTGAATAGAGAGAATGAAGGCGAAAAAATGAAGGTGATTGACGCACCGACCTTCTGATTGATCCATTTATTCAGCAAACATTTATTAAATGCTTCCTCAGTAACTGGCCCCATGCCAGGGTTCGAATATAGTGGTGGCCCAAATAGACGTGTTTTCCACCCTCACATGGGGAGATGCGTGTAATACAATGTTAGCTGAAGCTGAGTGCTGTGATGAAATGTAAAGCAGGGAAAGAGAACAAGGGACAGGCTATGCGCGGACATAGTTGGTCAGGGGGACGTAAGGGGGGGCTTCTCTGAGGAGGTAACAGTACAGCCAGAGAAGTTTCAAAGCTGGAGATGCTCCAGGAGGCTAAGAGAATGGTCACATGAAGAATCCTTTGCAGATCCCCTTAATGCCCTATGGCCATGACCCTCATTTTGCAGTAGAAACTGAGGTGCAGGGAGAGTATGGGTGCACACACAGTCAGCCCTGCAGAGTGAGATTAAACCCTGGCCCTCAGCAGGGCCCTTCCACTGGCAGCTCCCCCAGAAGTCCTCCTGCTTCCAGCCTCACACATCTCTCCTCCTCCCCTCCCAGCAGTATTTTTAGTCTCGCAGAACCCCTTCCCTGAGTCGGCTGTTGCCTTCGTCATTCTGCTTGACTTGCTTTCACCTGCTTCCAGGCGGCTGTGACAGGGCCCCGGGCTGCACCCATCAAACTGTCCCTGGCTTCACTACGGGGGTGTGTGTGTGGGGCGAGGACAGCTGGGGGCGACCAATTGGGTGTCGTGGTGTGGCTGGCGGGTGGCCTGTCAGCGGCTGGGGTGACTGTTAGAGCCTCACAGCTCTCTCCTCAGGTCAACCCTTAGTCTGAGGGTGAAAGGAGGGGGTGGCTGGCTGTTGCCTGCAGGCATGGGGATGGGGAGGCAAAGAGAGAAAGACCAGTGGGAGGAGGGAAAGAAAAAGGTAGAATTTTGTAAGAGGTTTTAGAGAGACAAGCTGAGGAGGTGGTGGAGGTGGTAGCTTGGCAGGTGGTGTTGATTGTGGTGTGTGTGTGTGTGTGTGTGTTATCTCTGACCTGGGGTGCAGGCCTTCCCACTGTGAAGTCCTCAGTGACTATGTGTGAGCATTTGTATGAGTGTGTGTGAGAACATCTTGGACCTTTTGACTGTGAGGTCCCTGAATATGACTTTTCCAGGCCAGTCCCCTGAGACTGCTTGTTTACTCCACACTCCAGTATGTGGCCATATTTTATTTCTTATCTGTGGTGTCTTTCCCTCTGTCCCCAAAGACCCCAGCAGACCTTTTCCTGGGGTGGGAGTTGACTGCACCTCACTACCAGAGAATGACCTGGAAGAGGCAAGGTGTTACACACGTGACCAGTGTGGGACTTACGAATGTGTAAAAAACCTTGCTGAGTTCTCATAGCCACTTTCCTGGGGACTTCAGAGCTGCCAGCTTCTCTCTGGCTGGTCCTTGCTCTTTGTGAAGGTAGAGCTATTCTACTCCCCGATCTCAGGCTACACCGCCCATTTCTAGAGATGTGTTGGGATCAGGAGTGCAGCCCCAGGAAGCTGTGAGGTGTCAAGCTCTGTGTTGCTGGTGGAGGCCTGAGGAAGACTGAAGAGGAGGCCCTGGATGACATCTTTCCCTATGGGGTAGGCCAAGTGGGGCAGGGGACTTGCCTGCCTGGCCAGACTCATGCCTTGGACCTGGGTACTGGACCCGACTGACTCTTGAGGGACTGAGAGGGCCCTCTGCAAAGAGCTTGTGTGATGACTGCACTATGTGCTGACTGCACTATGGTCAGCCAAGGGGACTGGGCTTGGTGTCTTCGTGTGGTATCAGTGCAGCTGGAAGTCCTGGGAGCTGGGGGAATGGAGGTGTGTGTGTGTGCACACGCGTGAACTCGGTGCAGGCTTTGCAGTCAGACTCTCCTGAGTTTACACCCTGCTCTGTGTTGGTAGCTGAGCCCCTTGGGGCAAGCTGCTTAACCTCTCTGATGCTCCTGTCTCCTGATCTGTAAAATCACAAAGCACCAACCTCTGAGCTACTCCAGCTGAATAGATGAGTGACCTGAAGCACGTTCGCTAGCCTCTGGGGCCTTGCTCTTCTCACCTGTAGAATGAGTAGTTATTGGTGCTGATGCAGGTTGAATGAGGAGATGGGGCCAGCGCTGAGCGTCTCACCGGGCACGTGAGCTGGGATTATGGTGATTGTCATAATAACAAGTGTCCCTGTCCCTGTGTCTCTCCAGGCCCGTGGCTCTGCAGGGGGCAGGAGGAGGCACGATGCCGCCTCCCAGGAGGACCATGACAAGCCCTACGTCTGTGACAGTAAGTACGGGCAGGGGTGCCTTCCCTCCCGGGCCCTGCCCGCCCCCTGTGCTTCCTGGTGTCAGCCCCCTGGCCTCAGGCTCGCTGCTGCTCCTCTTCGGTCTGCTCCGCCATTCCCATGCCTGCTGCCCTCACCACCTCCTCTTGCTGCTGCTGCTGCTGCTGGCTGCTGCATTTCTGCATGAGGGAGAAGCAAGCTGGGGAGGCCTTTGTGCCCTGCTCCTCTCTGGCAGTGCCCTCCTTTGTGGCTTCTCTCCGACTCTCTTTACTTTGTCTCCATAAGATTCATCCTCTATTTCTTTCTCTATTTCAGAGAGTTACAAACAAAAGCATAACTCAAAATCCTCCGACAAAGGTACTTGGCTGCTGTGACTTTTCATTTGTTTCCTTTTCATTTCATTTCTCCGTCTCTGTCTCTCTCTCTCCGTCCTGTCCTGGTAGGGCAAATTACGAATCTCTGATGATGACTTAGATCCGTACCTGGCCCCTCAGTCCATCTCCAGCTGTTCTTGCTTGCTTCCTAAGTGTTTTCTGGAGGGCGACTGCTGGCCCCCGGTTTACTGCCCACAGACAGAGCAGCGAGCGGGCAACAGGCTCCTCCAGAGCCCTTCTGCTTCGGCGGGATGACCCTCAGCTCCAGCAAGTTTCCTCACCTGCCAGAGCACTGGCTGGTGGGTGCAAATCTTGCCCTAGTTCCCTTTCGCACTTCATCAGGCTCATCTGTTAGTTCCACTGCCAGGGCAGCCTTCAGGCCCTGGCCACCTTCCCTGCCCTGCTTCTCCTCTCTGCAGTCACAGGGACACGATTGAGGCAGGACCCTGCACAGTGGTGCCGCCAGGCTGTGTCTGCCTTGCCAGTGTCTGTGTCTCCATGAAATCACATGCCCGGAGAAGGTGGGCATGGGGAGTTCATCGAGTGATGTCCTGTCCCCCTTCTTCACTGACCTCTTTTGACTTCAAGAAGTTGTTCTGTGTCTGGTAGGAGAACATTTTGCTAGAACTCCAATTCCATGACGCTCTAAATACACCGAGCAGGTGACATTCCTGTGTGCGTGCCTGAAGGTCACGTCTCCATCCCAAAGCCGCTCAGGTCCAGGAGTAGGAGGGCGCAGAGCGTGGGGTCTTGGCACATCAGGAGGGGCCTGCTCGTGTTTGGGCCTAACTTCACGACAGGGGTTCAGTTTCGTTCAGGTGCATCAAAACCCAAGCATGCTAGCCCTTGGCCTCTGGCTTGGGGTGGGGAGGGCCCCGGAGACTCCCCAGCTGTGCCTGTGCCTGGAGCAGAGACATTGGGAATGCTAACAGCTACTTCAGAACCGGGACAGGGCCCTGGGCTTGTCTTATAAAAAGCTTTATTTTCATGACGTGATTGTCCGCTACCATAGATAATGCCGTTATAGACACTATCTCAATTGCTCTTACTGGATTCTCAGCCGATAATAATTCCACATATGCTCAGACACACCCGTGTGCCCGTCTTTCACCCAATCTCACTTCCTCCCTTCACTCCTTTGTCTCTGACGTCTGTCTCCATGTGCGTTGTCTCCACAAAGCTCCCTTTAAGGATGTCTCCCTCTTGCCTGCTCTCCTCTTTCTATACAAAGTGCTTGCATCACGGCCTCTCCCCCATACTCCTGTGGCTTTGTTTAGGGGGCTCTCTGTGCCATTTGCTTTTCCTGTCCCCCCCGCCCTCACAAGCTCTCTTCCTCCTCCTGTTTACCTTGTGCTGCTTGGGAGACCTAATCGCAGGCCTGATCCTGGCTTTCTGGAAGTCTCAGACGCTGATTTCTTGGCTCTGCTTGCTCCAGCGCTGCCTCCCTCTTCCTCCCTTGGTGGAAGCAAGGTCCCCTGTAGATTGCCCTTCTCTGTTCTGGCTCTCTTAGGAAGTTGTGTGGCAGCTCTGTGATTAATAGATTTATTTTTATCTGGTGCCCTTCAGACATGTGATCCTTTGGGATAGAAATGACCTTTGGAGAGGTCATGAGGCCCATCCCTCCACCCTTGAACTGAGCAAGGAATGCTTTTAATAACTCTAATGCATCCTAAGTAAGAGAGGTGTCCGGTCACCTCCTGGAATGTCTCCTGGGATGGTGTTGCCATCAGCTGCCCTTTCTTCCATGTCTCCAACTGTGCTTTGCGTGATTGTTTTCTCCTTAATAGGAGCTGAGATTTCCCCCTATGGACCCTTTATCTTTGGGGCCTCTTTTCCTAATAAGTAGGCGTAGCCAGCGGTTTGTCTGTTTTGGAGGCCCACTTAACATCCCTGGATTCTTGGTTTACTCAAGGCCACATCCCATAATCTCTGCGATGGCGTGCTCTGAATTCCCTTCCAGGTTTATATTTAAGATCAGCACTCCCAGTGGAAGTTACGCCAAGGCCAAGTGGCTCAGGGAGTAACAGACACAGTTCCTTGTTTATTTTACACATTGGCTCTTAGCACAACCCCAGTGTAGAGAATGAAGGTATTGGGTCACCCCGCGGCACTGTGCACTGTCTCATTAATGTCCACGCAGTGCCTGTCCTAACCCCCATGTTAATGCCTCTCCAGGTATGTGTTCTTTTCCACTTATGCATTTGATGACCCCTCCTTCCATAAATCACTCTACATTTGGCACTTTTGGGTTTCAATCAAGAGATACAATAATATCTGATGCCAATATATAAGATTCAAGAAAGGCAAATTTAAAGACATTGCCCAGTAGTTTAATTTCATTTTCCATAGATCTACAATCCTTGCCGTTTTGAATCATATATGGTCTGATTTGCATAATCCCCATTCCATCTTTCTCATTATTTATGAAAAGATTAGGCCACCTTGGACCCTACCACCTCTTTCTGGGTTTAGATTGGGAAGTAGTAGTTATTCTTCAGATGTGAGTGTATTGAACCCTCCCTGGCATATATTCTTAAATGTAGCCTTATTATGTTTGGTCCAAGCGTGCCTTTCAAGATGGGTGGTTGAAATATTACCGAGCTTCTAATGTAGGTGATAGATAGTTCGTCTGTTGCCTTTCACTCAGCCATTGAATTTAATCCCTCCTGGAGAACTGTTAAATCATCTGGACATAATTTATTTTTCACCCAATCTTTGGGATGTGTGTAGATGAATACTTGATTTTCTAGAAGTAACCAATCTCCATTAATTTCCTGATGCTTATCAAGTTTAAGATTAGGTTTTGTTTCATCTCTTTCAATCTCTTGCTTAAGGACAAGTATTCATTACCCACAAGCAACACAGAGTGGCAATATGACTTTGTAGGGAAGTTGTCATGGTTGTTCAGAGTCGACGTGGACCACCCACATGGGGATAGCCTAGATGTTTGTTACAGTGTTGTTCCCTGGCCTTCTCCTAGAAGACCTTCCCCTTCCTCTGTATCAGAACCACCATGGGCAGGTCAAGGCACCTGCATTTCTCAGAATTCCACAGGGGACATTTAGGAACATTGACTTTTGAGACCGTGGTTTACTTCATTCAAATGCAAAGAGTTAAGGACTCTCCCTACTTACTACCGGACTTTTTTTTTTTTTTTTTGCTTTTTTTGTGTCTGGAATTGCTAGAGTCTAAGGCATTCTCTAGGCCCAGTGCCATGGGTTTGAACCACTGTTTTACTTGGTCTCTTTAAAATTATTGCTTCCCAGTTCTTTCAGCATTTGATATAAATCTCAGCAGTCTAATATTAAACTTAGCAAAGCAACACTTGACTTTAATTTACTTAATAACTTAAAATCCTGAAAGTATCATTAACACCACTTTATGGTAGGAAAGTACTTGGGGGATAGATATCTGAAAGGAATTGTTGGGTTGGTTGACTGGGGTGTTTTAAAAATCATTTGAAATTGTCTCTTCTCTTTCTAACCTGCTCCCTACCCCAAATTTTCTGTTAACACCATTGGGTCAGACTTCTTATAAGACACCCACTTTTCATTTTTCTGTTTTCAAGGAGCGTCATAGGAGAGAAGAGTGGTGGTGATGGGGTGATACCCAGAGAGAGGGAGAATGTCTTGAGACTAAGCATTGCTTATTTTAGGAGGAACAGATCACCTATTTACTTTTTTTTTTTTTTTTTTTTTTTTTTTGCTGGGCATAGTGGAAGTGATTTGTGAGATTTTTTTCCCCCTCAGTGTTTTCTTGGAGAATTAACAAAAAATTATATTTAATTTTATTGTGCAGTGGATATTTAAAAACATCTACCCTCAACAAATTTTAAAGCCTGTAGTACAATGACATACAGCAGGTCTCTAGTGCTTATTCATCTTGCTTGACTGAAATGTACTTGTTGGCCTACAGCTTCCTACCTCCTCTCTCTACTAGCCCATGGCTAGTACTACTCCACCTTTGATGCGGTGAATTTGACTATTTTGGATTGTTCACATAAGTAGAGTCATTTTTCCGTGACAGGTTTATTTCACTTTTCTATATTTTTAAGGATGGCTAGAATTCCTCTCTATGTACACACCCATTTTCTTTTTCCATTCATCTACTGATGGACCTTAAATTAAGGTGGCTTCCATATTGTGAGTAGTGTTGCAGTGAACACAGGAGTGCTAATATCTCTTTGAGATCCTGATTTCAATTCTTTTTTTTTTTTAAAGATTTATTTATTTATGTATACAGAACTGGGGTACAAGCCAGAGGTGCAGGGGCGGTGAGAGGCTGCCTAACAGAGACCGAGTGGGGAGCAGAACAGGCAGATCGACGAAGTACACTGCTGAGGGGAGCAGCGGGCGCGTCAGGAGAGGTCTGCCACGCCATGTGGTCACCTCCGGGACTGGGGATCAAACTTGCAGTGAAGTGACTGCGGCCAGCTTGCAGTGTTGTGTCCTAACCCGTTGCCCCACCGGGGCGGGGTAGGTGTGTGTGTGTTGATTTCAGTTCTTTTTGATACCCAGAAGAGGGGTTATTGGCTCATATGATAATTCTAGTTTTAATTTTTGGGGGGCTCTCCATACTGTTTTCCAAAGCAGCTGCACCATTTTGCATTTCTACCAACAGTGTACAAGGTCTTCAATTTCTCCACATCCTCATCGGCACTTGTCTTCTGCTCCTAGCTTTTCAAGCTCCTAGCAAGTGAGAACACTTGCTAATGGGGGTGTAAGCACTGTTGCGAGCATTTTTTTTTTTTTTTTTGCTGTCTATTCTGTGTATATTTTACTTTTCAGAAAATCTCATTTTTGGCTGGACTCAGGTTTAGAGATGGAAATTCTCAAAGTCAAGACCGCCTCTGCCCCCTGGCAATCTATCCTGGCATTTTCCTTTGGCCTCCTTCACTTGCTTGGCTCAAAGTTCACATGCTCTGCAACCTCTTCCTTGCTTTTCTCACTGCGCTGTTTCTTCAGAGAATGTTTGTATTGGGAA